CATGTCTTGAAAATACATATCCTGTTTGAGATTTAGCTGTTGCAGTATCAGATTTATATCCTGCATCACAATATCCAACCAATTTTGGATCTGTGGATTATATATAGTATAATTCTAAGTCTTGAGTACCTTTTAAATAACGTAATAAATATTTGATGCCATTCCAATATCGTAGTGTTGGACGTGCACTATGTCTTGCAAGGGATTAGTTGATCACTTATAAAATTATTTATAATTAAATAATCTTGACGACATTGATACCACAGGCATCCCAATTATTTTAAACCATACAAGACCTTACATAATTTAATACCACAATATTGTCTTGGAGCGGGTCCATTTGGAGTTCCTGTTTCTAAACCAGGTGGAACTTGCATATAAATATTTGCATCAAGAGAACCATATAGATATGCAGTTACTACATCCATAAAATGCATCTCAAGGGTAGCATGAATTGTCATTCCAATAATATATCAAAATGCAATTGAATCCATGACTGGAGAATATGTGGATTCATAATCAATGCCAAATCGTTGAGTAAATCCTTAAGCAACAAGACGAGCTTTATAGCGGGTTATTTGACCTTCAGCATCTCGCTTGCATATTAATACCATCTTATATCCCACAAGGCGAGATGTAAGAGTATCTATAATTGGACCAAAGACTTTCTTCTTATACAAAAAGGTATACTCCTCTTCAATAGCAGTTTTCCATTTTGACCAATTAGAGCGACGCACCGCCTCCTCAATGGTTTGAGGTTCAAAATCATCTTCCTTGCAAGAAAGGGCTTCTATAATCATATATGGAAATGATTCATCTATCGTCATAGATGGTCTATCCCAAATATTATCTGTAGCACAATACATAATAGATAATTCTTTACTCAACTTGTTCTTATTCCTTCCAATTCCAAGATTGTTTTTCATAGGAATTGAAGGTACATTATGCATGGATATATCATCATGAATTGGTAGTCCCACAAGATGAGTGGAATTTCTTGAAAAATAATACGAGGATTAGTCAATTTTATAGCTTTCTTCTTACGTGGTTGCTTATCTGGTCCACAAGTTCTTTTAGTTGTTGTTGTTATAACTTGAGGTATTGTAGTCAATGGCACTGCAATCTAAGCAGGTGCATTTTGAGCCTCATTAATAGGAACTCTTATAATTCTAGATGCATCATTGAAGCCATTAGGTGTTTCATCTGTGATCTATTTTAGATGCAAAATCTTAGCAACTTCAATTTCTGCCAAAGATGTCCTAGGATCAAGATTCATTATAAACATTTCTGGTGCTTCAAATATGAGTACTTTATTTCTTTGTTGATTGGATACTCCTCCTTAAAGAGATGGGAATACATTTTTTTCAAAACAAAAATTTTACAAATGTGCATGTAATAATGTGCCAGTTGATAGATCAACAATACGAATAATGCTTGGTGAATCAAAACCAACATATATGTCTTATATCGATGAGCTCCAATGGTACGCCATTGAGGTTCTGGTACTGGAATCCAAGCACGGCAACCAAATACTCGTAAGTGAGATACATTTGGAATACAACCCAAAATGAGCTCATGTGGTGAAACAATTTCAAGAGAAGAAGGACAGAGGCATATTAATGCTGCAGCATATAAAACTGCATGATCCCACATAGATGCAGGTAAATTTGTATGAAGGAGGAGTGGCCCGGTTATGAGTTGTATACGCTTTATAAATGACTTTGCAAGTCTATTTTGAGCATGTTCATATGGAACATAATATGTCAACTCAATTCTTGTTGCAGTATAATAGTCTTCAAAAGACTTTGATGCGAATTCTTTTGCATTATCCATACATAATGTTTTTATAAGATAATCAAGAAAATATGCCCAAAAATGAATAAGCATAGATATAAAATAGGTAAACACCATGTTTCAAGTTGATAATAATGAAACATATGATTGTTTACCTGATTCATCAACAAGGACCAAAAAATAACAAAATGGTCTTGATATTGGATTAATAGGACTACAAATATCACCATGTAATTTTTCAAGCATTGGTGGTAATTCTTGTGGAAGTTTCCAAATTGAAGACCGAGTAATCATCTTACCTTGCACACATACACGATATAATTCTATAGAGTCTACATCCACATGCTTTATATTGTGCTTAGTTATACATGGAATGATCTTTCTAAATAATGTGGATTTTGGATGTCCCAATCATCCATGCCAGAGAGAAACACGACTCTCTGTGATAGATGATGCAAAATTAAATATAATGGGAGGCCGAACCACAATTCGGTATAAACCATTTTTTGTAGCAAAAGCTTTTTCAATAACTTTATGGTTCTTTGCAAGAACCAAAACCTCTTTTCTATTTAAAGTGGCGGTCGAGAGGTGATAACCATTAATACGCACATCTCGGTAGTTGATCAGACTTCGACGTGCTGAGGGTGCAAACATTGCATGTTTACATTTTATAATAGAATCCATAGGTAATTTTACCATCGCTGTGCCTTCTTGGAAACAAAACGCATTTGCTGCAGCCATGGTCATCATATTTTTAGTTTGCTAAGTTGAAGATTTTTCAATAAAAAATCATCTATCTCGCAAGATAGTATATGTTGTTGCAGAATCAATGAGCGCATCATTTGATTTATCATTAGAGGTTTTATCATTCATATAAGCCTCTAAGTCATCAACACCAATTGAATCCATTGACGCATCCATGGTATGAATTTCATGTCGATGGATTCAAATGATTGGACATCAGCTCGTAATTTCTAATTTTCTTTGAATATTTTAATAAAATATTCTGAAGTACAGCACGCATGTGCTAAATGTCCAATCATTCCACACTTATGGCAAGAACGCATCTCTGATTTTTATTTTCTACTATAATTAATAGTAGAACGTTTATTCTTTCCATATGGATAAAAATGGTCATGATTATGACTACTCTGATACTTATGAGCACGTTTTCCATGTTTATATAATTTCTTCTTAGACTTTGAAATATTAAGCGCATGAGATTTTGGAACTGTAGTTCCAATATGATGAGCTTCCGCATTATGTACTAGTAGCTCATTTTGCTTCTCTACAAGAAGTAGATAAGACATGAGATCAGAATGACTTTGAAATTTCATGTTCATATATTGTTGTGCAAGCACATCAGATACAGGAGGAAATGTAGAGAGAGTTTTTTCAATCATTTCTTCTTCAGAAATGCTTTGTCCACATAATCATAATTGTGAGACAATACTATCCATTTTACTATTTAAGACATTTAAATTTGAAAAATCTAAGACACTTAAATGTGTCCAATTATGACATGCACGTGAAAGAAAAATGGTCTTTTGATGATCAAACTTGGATTTAAGATTCTTCCAAAGTTTTGCAAGATCTTCTATTTCTAAATATTGATGTTGTAATACAGGTACAAGATGACGATGAAGGAGAAGAAGTGCTTTCCAACAAATAGCAGGAGGTATAGAAATACTTATTATAGGAGATTCTTCAAACATAATGACATCCGAGAGTTGTTCTGCAAATAAATTTGCTTTTGCCATTTTTGCCGATAATAGATAATTTTTTCCATCCACAGTCAATGGTGGAAATAAAAGAGCTTGAAAATGTTGGGATGCATTGGTAATAGTTGGAACCATCATAAAAGCAATTGAAGATGTTGAAGCACTCATTATAAATAAATCTGCAAAGAAAATACAAGATCAAGTAAAAAAGTTGAGTAAAACGTACCTTAAAATATAAAGTCAAATGAAATGATAAACTTGAACTTGAAATATATATATATATATATATATTTTTTCAAGGAGGTTGTAGATTAAGGCAGCTGAACAGCAATAAGATGGCGGCAGCAGGCAGCGGTAGGGTGGCAGTGGTAGGGTTGCAGTAGTAGGGCGATAGGGTGGCAGCAGCAGGCAACAACAGTAGTGGCGGGCAATGGCAGGCGGCAGTAGTAGGGCAACAAGGTGGCAACAGTAGGCAACGGCAGGCGGCGGCGGCAGTAGGGCAGCAACAGCGGCAGGCGACAGCGTCAATGGCAATAGAGTGGCAGCGGCGGCAGCTCGGTGGGTTTGGCAGCAGTTTGGCAACAATTGCGGGGTGCAGCAGGGAGCAAGCTGGGGTGGAGTTGGGGTGGATCAAGTATTCTAAACAAAATATTCTAAGCAAGCAAGGCAAAGAGTGGAACAAGTGCTCTAAGTAAGCAGCTAATGTGTGAAGGGCCAGCAAGAAGAGCAACAAGATCATGAGGCAGACACTAAGCAAGAGTAATAAGAGTAACAATAGGTTTGAAGAGTCAAGACTAGAGCAAAAAAATTGTGATAGTGTGTAGAAGAAAGTCTTGCTGATAACGTGTTGAGAATGTTTAGAAAGACACAAGAGTAATAGTAAGTCATATACACACACAAGAGTAGTAGTAAGTCATACATAGAAGAGGGTTTCTAAGGAGAGAGAGCTTCACATAAAAATCTATTGATCTGGTTGTGTCTCGTATATAAGAAGAGAAAAGGAGAGATGATAAACAATACTTCTCTACTAGACTCTAAATACTATAGCTACAATATTTACTATAGTCTACAATAAATATTATGGAAAGCACCAGCTACATTTAATGATGTCAACACTAGCGATTGATTTTATCTTTTTTTGATGCAGCTCATGTAACCTCCACATCATAGTAAGAACCCGTATTATATGTGAGCACGTATTGAGTAGTAGAATGATCATGTGAAGTGATGGTAAGGGCAGAAATCGTAGATGCCTTTTTTGCCAAGTGCCGACTTGAGTTTTCAAGCCTTTCAATAACTTGAACCTAAAATATAAACGGTCTCATAGAGATTCTGTGGAATTGTTACGAAGCTCTTTTCCCTGTCAGCATGAAAACGCAGAGCAGGGTTTTGGTGACCACATTGAGAATGACATTATCAACTCTAGAATGTGATAAGCTTTGAAATCAGAAAGAAAAACCGTAAGAAGTATCAATTGTGGATCTGTTAGTTGAGAATGCTCAGAAATCTTTTTTCTGAGTTATCAGAGGGTTAGAAAAGCGTCCAAAATTGTAACCAATTCGCTATCTTCATGTGTTCCAAGTGACGAAAAACATCATGACAAACTCAATGCAGTTCCCATATTCTAAATCGAATTCTCTCATCGTTCACTATTTAGTGGGAACTTTTCCTGTATATATTCTATTTCGAGATTTTGTTGACTTAACTGATCTCTCGAAATCGTCAATATCTACGGAAGCAAGTACATTTACATCGAAAAATAATTCAAACCGATTCGTGTAGCCCAAAATATAAGAATCGTTGTTGCAGGGTAATCACAACCCGTCTTGGTCACTTATCAAGTGCTCCACACCTCCACTCGTAGGCCTGTCAAATTAGATAACGTGATACGTTAGGTTTTACTCTGCCCTTGTTTCGGTTATTTACAACCCCTCCAAGTAACATTTAACGGTGAAATCCAATTCGAATTCAAGGAAGAAAATACGAACACTTACAAGCCAACCAAAACTTTCATGGAATCGTAGCAGAACCATTGCGCAGTAACCAACGGACCCACGAGCATCACACGCAACGGCAAGCTTCTTGTGAATAGCCCTACAAGTCCTATGCTCTTAGCAGCCTGTTGAAGAGCAATCACATGAGCATTACTGATTATGGGTCTTAAGTTGCATTTCAGAACCCGAAACAAATTGAACTGCAGGCATGAACGGAAACGTAAGGATGTAGATGAATCTGCTGTGAAAACTACGGTAAAAAAATGATTATAAGGCGTTATCAAACCTGCACATAAGAGAGGCCCTTCCTTTTGTTGATAGCAGTTATCATGTTGTCCGCTGGGTTAGAGATAATGGTACCCGCCACCCCAGACATGTAACCAGCCATACATGTGACCCCGAGCTGCACGCCCATTGAGCACTCGTTTTTAGGTTTATGGATAATATTCCCATAAAGAAAATCAACTGAATGCTCGAACGTAGAAAACATGAGTACTGCAACTGCAAACATACACAGGAAATTAGATAGCCAACAAGAATTCTTATGTACTCAAAGGGCAAGGTTCAGTCGAAAGAGTGAAAGAACGTGTACTACTGTCTCCAGGTCGGATAACGAGCGGTATAACAATGGAACAGAGATTCTGAATGATAACTCACAAGGTAGGTTGCGTCCCCAAAGTGACACAAGGCCCTTGTACAGCCTGGAAAAAATAAGAATCTGGTTCTCAGACACTAATTCTCAAAACTAGATGGAATTTGCAGAAAATGCAAAGAGAAATTTCAATTAAGTACTAACTTACTATACATGACAAATTTCATAAGCATGGGGGGCAGTGCGATTCCTAACATGTGGACAAACAAACAAATACACAACGACCTCAACTCATCCCAACGACACCTGACACATTGTGCAATTAAAAGGGAAGGTAAAGCCACTCACCCAGTGAGTCCTTCTGCACGATACACTTTAGGTAATCCATCAGTTAAACCCTTTGCGTAGCCCGTCTGTACTCGCACTTTGATTGATTCAAACGGACATAATGCCGTGTCTGCTATGATCTGCGCAGATAAGCTGCTAGCAACATAAATCGAAGTTTTGTTCAGCCTTATGTAGTCTGTACCAGCTACGTCGCTGTAAAACTTCTTAAAGTATTCGTAAAGACCAAATTTAAATGCTCCTTGAGCGCTGTAGCCGCAAAGCTTACTTCCCCAGCCCTTCCATATACCTTTCAGTCCTTGCTCACTGTAAATTATGCCAAAACTTTTTACAATAGATTTGTATTTTCGGGGATTAGCCTGCGCAGCACGAACAATTGAGAATCTCAGTAAATGAAACAAGACTCAATTTAAAGCTGTTGAAGCTCTCGAATCATGTCAGATGTAGAAAGATAGCAAGAGAATTTTTTTCAATAACTAGTCATAGAATGAACAATGTGGGTGGTGCGACTAGGCCCCACTGAACCGTCAAAAATGAACACTTGGAACAGTACTAAATTACAGTTTTCCTCCAGCAGTAGGGCAGCAAGTAATAAGTATTTTCCACTCAACGTTTCACGCACTTCATGCAAATGTAGGGAGAGATCTAACCAGAATCATCTCAGAAATACCTGCATATTGACCTTCAGCATGTCGAAGGGGGTAACAAGCAAATGAACCGAGCCAGTGGATATCATACCGCTCAATGCACAAGCTGCGTAATACTTGTTGGAAAAAAGCTCCAGTTTCGTAGTAGGCATTTGGGGTACCCATGTTTGCTCCATGATTCTCCCCACCTTGTACTTCGTGTCGAGCACTCGTCGTAGACAACTCTTTCTTGAAATCTGCAACACTTCCAAACGATGGTTTCCTGTGATTCCCTCACACCTCCGATAAGCTACTTGCTTTGAGATTGAAGGAACTTTTAAATATGGGAAGAATCATGCTAATTATCCTTCCCGGTCCAGAATGAATCGACGCCATGTCTATTGAAGCACATTGTTGATTCATTGTACACTGACGTCGCACACTTTTGCGCTCATCTGCCCTTCTGGTCCTAAGGCAATGTAATCCGTATCAATAGTATTAAATTGTGGAATTTAAAGTCTTGGTCTCAAACGTAATCCACAATGTGCAATGCTTCAAGGATCCAGAACGTAGAGCTAACAACTGTTGTTCTTCGAGGAATATTTCTATGGTTTCAAAAAATGCAAAAATATCGCCTGTTAACCTTCTCCTTCCTATTAATGACCTCGATTATTTAATTGTACACTTCGAAATGGTGTCACCAAACTAGATCTCGAGTCTGAAGCTAATGAATGACGATGATGAGGTTCCAACTCTCAAAAATGACAAAACTACGTAAATCGGAACAGAAAATACAAACGAAGAGAAAGATTCTACTTCGATTCTCAAACCTTCGCAACGCTGCAAAACTGGGCCCTATCAAAAACAAATTTGACAGTTAGTTTTAGCCACACCGAATGCAATGCGATTAATTTCATCCTCATCAACCAAAAGAGGGAAAAAAACAAAAAAAAATAACACCAACAATAACAAAAACAAGCCGCAAAACGGACGCTAGAATCAGTAAAAGAGAATAAATAAATCAATTCTAAAAGAATCAAGAAAGGAAGGCAAGCGAAAACAAGGCGGAATTACCAAGAGTAGGAGACAAAGGAGCACGAGAGTGCGGCCTCAGCACCAAGAGAAAACTCGAATGAATGCAACAGCAGATGTGCAGTGGTGGCTCGGTGCATCTCCGAAGCCCGGGGAAACACAGGAGCAAGTTTCAATGTGAAAGCCTGAAACGGTCTGTCCAGCGTTGAAAGCACAGGAGGAGGGTATTATTGGGAGGATCTCTTGAGGTGCTCCTCATTGATACCAGCAGCGCATCGATGTTATGTTCTACGACCGTCGCTGATTTTAATTGACTGATGTGGCAAACGTTGCGGTGATACCTGCGCAAATATTCCAGGTGGCAGTCTTTGGTCATTGCTCAAGCCTCCCTCCAGTGCTCCTCTCCTTTTAGCAAAGTATTTTCCTGCTCTGGAAGCCATAGAAAGTTTCCAGAACCAACCAACCAGTTTGGAGAGGACCCCCCTTCCGGAAGCTGCTGAGCGGGGGGGCGGAGGGGGGTTGTACAGTATAATCATCAGCCCTAGGTTAGGTTCTACTCTAGTTCCGGTAAAGCACCGGGCGAAACTCCTGGTGACCGTCGAATCCGAAGGCTGTCTTATTATGGCGGCCAACAGCGGTGATACAGTTTGAGGGGAAGACCTAAAACTCGACATGGATGCGGCGGTCGTGAAGTCGTACGCTCAGAAGCTAAAGGTGATGGCTACAGTCCACCCTCCATATGTGTTAACAATTCGGAACAAGGAAACTTTTAACGTTTATCTGGTGTTACCACTTTGACACTAATCGGGGAAGCATATACAATTTGTGATCCTTACATGAATAACACTTATGTGACTTAGGAATTAATTACATGAATAACACTTAAGTGACTTAGGAATTACTTACATGAATAATACTTATATGACTTAGGAATTAAAAACAATAATTCTTATATAATTAAAGGATGAAAGTACATAAAATATGAATGTCATCATATATCTAAGCATAGTAAAAGTAGTTCGTCAAGTTCCTATTTTCTTTTGAAGTATTCAAAAACAATAGATAAGAGGTATAACATCAATAAGTCTTTGTTCTAAAAATTGTTTCAAGGTTATTAATACACTTTTAATATCCTTAAATCCTACTCTATCTACTACATCTCCAATTTGTACATTACTAACTGCTTTAATGGCTTCATTGGTAACTACATCAAAGATATCATTAAGCATATCTATAATTTCTTCTTTAGTAGATATGTAGGGATTGTTTAGATGAAACTCCAATTCATAATTAATGAATTTATGTACATTTATAATAGGTCGTTTTTACTATCTATAGATACTAATGGCAATTGTTCTAATAAGATAGTACTTCTTTCAACTTTCTCTTTTATATTGATTATTCAACTTCTATCATGGACATACACATGTAAATCAATAATTATCTATATGATTTAGATAAAAGTAGGTAAAAATAAGTTAATTCTATAATATCTTCTATATAAGCTGATAATCCTGTGGCAGAAGATTTAGCAAATTGCTTATCAGTGCTACATACAACAATGAAGATACAATTAAAGAAAGCTCAAGAACGACAAAAGACTAATTTGGATGCCTATCACAATGAGCAACTATAATATAATATGGTTGATAAGGTATGGTTACTTTATTGTAATATCAAAACTACTCATCTTTGTCATAAATTAGATTATCGTAGGCTAGGAACCTTTCCTATTTGTGAACAAATCAATCCTATTGCCTATCGATTACATCTACTAGAGTCTATGAAGATCCATCCTATATTTCATGTGTCTCTTTTGGAGCCATATAAGATAGTGAATATCTTGGGAAGAAGACAAATACCACTTCTTTCTATAGAAGTAGATAATTACCAAGAGTTTGAGGTGGAAGAAGTCTTAGACTTAAGATGGCGCTGAAATAGATTGGAATATCTTGTTCATTGGTGTAGATTTGATATTAGTGAATGCACATAGGAGCCATCAAAGAATCTTGCAAATGAAAGAAAGAAAGTTGAAGTCTTTCATCAATGACATCCATCAAAACTAAGATGAAGAATAACAAACCTTTGCTATAAAAAAAATAAGATCAAAAGAAAATAACATTCTACCTTCTATCTTTCATTGTAGTTTCTGTATATTTGTGATGAGATAGAGTACTAACAATGAGTAGATTCAATTCAAGAACTTTCATTTGTGGACTTACCAGATAAGAAATTGCGATTGTCACAACCTTTAAGATGATGGAATCGAGATGAAGATCCTCAAGAATGACATATCTTTCTTTAAATAGATGGCAAGATACAAGATATTTGATATTACGACCTTAGAAGAGACTCTCGATGTTCAGTGATTTTATTAGAGGTAAAAACAACTTTTGACGATGTTCCAAATGTTTTATTTGAAAGAAGTTACAAAGGCCTCAACAATGATCAAATAACAGGGTGGTCTTCTTGCGTTGATATGAGATACTATAGATGGTTGAGAGAACGTATCAACCATCTTTGAAGAGAGAAAAGATCAGAGTATGTAGCAAATATAATTTGTCACATCTTGGACTTTCTCAACATATGAAGACCGCTCTTCATGGAACTCGTGCCTAGAAGGGGGAGTAATATCAAGAACATATATATTTACCTCAATAGTTACCTATATGATTAAGTAAAAGTAGATAAATATAGAATAATTTCATAAAGTCTTTTAGAGAAGCTTCCTAGAAGCTTCATAGAAGCTATTTTGACTTTAGATGTATTTATAGATTAGAAACTTGGCCAAAAAGCTAACCATGTATTGGTAGAATGTGGAACAAGTTATCTTTGGGTAGTAGCTTGTGAAACAAGCCAATTACGTGGTATATACATAGATAACTTACCTTACAAGATAAGATATGTGGCTAACAAAGTCAATACATGTTGGAGGTCGTATAGGACATCGCCACATAGCTCTTAGTTAGATAGTATATATGGAGGCAAGAGTGAAGCCTTCTTCACTCTTGTCAATGCCTTTCTAGTCTTAGTCTTGTTTCAAAACTTTCTAGTCTTTTTATTTTTGGCAATAGCCATTCTAATTAATATTACATCACCTTTTTAGTGACTTTCTAATTGTCTTCAGTGATAGAAGAGTGTATTGAGGATTCTCTTTCTTCGAGATTCATATCCTTGACACTGCCATTACTTGACTTCTTCTACTCTTGCCAAGTCTTTGTTCTTGACATCTTTCAAATAATTAATTGTTGTATGCAATGGCTTGAGTAATAAATTATTCTAAAGATTTTGCTTTTCACATTGTCAAAAATAATTCTTTGACGTTATCTTTCAACTCATATCAAAATTATTTGATAAGTGCTTTATTATTTGTTGCAAGCAAGGTTTTAAAATTCAATAGTATATGTAGTGACTAATTATGATCCTTATTATAAAGACAAGAGTTTGATCTCTACTTCTCATTCTTGATCACTTTCTCTAAGAATGAATTTAAATCATAAAGAAGTTAAGAATTTTTTTTCATCAAAGGTACAAACCAAGCTAAAGCTTTTTTAGATAGAAGTGTACTTATGAAGCCAACTTGAGTAAATCCATTCATGTACTGAAAGAATTTAATCTTAAGTAGAACTTAACTCGTTGTAAAAAACCTCAAAATTTTGATCTTATTCCATTAAACTTCTCAGGCATAAAAATTTTGGCTTTTCTTGAGTTTGTAGAAGCAAGAACATCTGAATTTTGTTGTGAGACTGATTGACTTGTTTCCCTCAACTACACAACTTCTTGATGTAAACTCTGGACTTCTTCTATGGATATAGAAGTACTTCTCCCATGTTTGATATTGGTGATGCATGAAATTTCTGCCCTAAGAATGTTGACAAGCAGGTAAAGATCTACAATAGTTACAAATTTATTCTCACTTTCATTTAAAATAGCATCTATAATCTTTTCTTCTATAGATAACTTAAACAAATCCAAAAAGTTAAATTAGAGGAGGGTAATTTGCAACCTCTAATAAAAATTTCCACAAAGAAGAATAATTCATTCTCTTGTAAAAAAAAGAAAAAAAAAATGTTAAAAAATTAGATTTTTTTGTTTAAAGGTGAGTAGTCTGCAACCTTCAAAATACAACAATAGAAGTGGGATAATCCATTCACTTCTAAAATAAGATAGAAATAGTATGTTAATACTTTTATCAAATTATCAAGGACATGAATCTTGAAGAAAGAAAATCCTCAATATATTCTTGTATCATTGAAGAGAACTAGAAAGTCACTCAAAAGATAATGTAATATTAACTAGAATGGCTATTGCCAAAAACAAGAAGACTAGAAAGTCTTGAAACAAGACTAAAGACTAAAAAGGCATTGATAAGAGTGAAGAAGGCTTCACTCTTGCCTCCTTATATACTTATAATAAGGAGCTATGTAGCAATGTCCTACAAGACGTGTAAAACATGTTGACTTTGCTAGCCACATGTCTTAACTTGTAAGGGAAGTTTTCTATGTATGTGCCACATAGTTAACTTATTCTACAAGCTATTATATGGAGTTAACTTGTTCTACAAGTTATCAACATGTAGTTAGCTTGTTGGTCAAGTTTCTAATCTACAAACATATCTAAAGTCAAAACCACGTCTATGAAGCTTCTAGAAAGCTTCTCTAGAAGAATTTATGAAATTAATCTATATTTATTTATTTCTACCTAATCATATAAGTAACTATTGAGATAAATATATATGATTGTAATATTAAAAAAGAAAAACTAAACTTGTTCTCGTAAAAGTAATAGATGGTCATCTATTGTCTTCTAGAGATGTTACTTATAAAATCCTTCTTATAGAAATAATAATTAATGGTCATAATAGCTTTGTGGTATTTAATATCATTAGATTTTTTTTTAATCCAATCAATTTAGGTTTATCATAGTTAAAAAAATACAATCCTTGACTAGATTGGATTTCTTATACTCTAGACTTTTCTAAAAGTATATCTAAGAGTATAATTAATGAAGTAAAAATCACAAGTCTAGTATAATTAAACCTATGTTTATTAGTGCAAGAGCTTTCTTGCACATTACAAAAAAAGGATTAACTTGTGTTATTTATGCCACACTCATTTTTAATAGTACAAAGACTTTAAGTGGTATTCCAAATCAATATCAAGATTTTGAAGATGTATTTGAAAAAAAGAATGCAGATACTCTTCCAAAACATCATCCCTATGATTGCTTAATTGACCTTCAAGAAAGAATACAATTGCCATTTGGACCAATCTATAATTTATCACAAAATGAGTTGGCCAAACTCAAGGACTATATTTAAGAGAATCCAATTAAGAACTTCATATGCCATTCCAAATCTCTAGTAAGAACCTCAATTCTATTTATAAAAAA